TAAGTTAGTAACAAGAACAAAACTTTTTTAGTGCCCATCGATACTGAGTGAAGAAAAACATTTTATCATTTTTCTATTAGACATATATCCACATTGATCATGCATCAACGACTTTGTTAATCGCATAGTGTACATTTGTATGCCGTTTTTACTTTCATTTACCTTGTTTAAAACGTTGTATTTCATTGGACAACACTGGTTTTTCTTCACTCAGTATCGATGGGCACTAAAAAAGTTTTGTTCTTGTTACTAACTTAACTACTTTCCTTTTAAGATTTATGTCGAACAAACGATTAAAAATTGCATTGGTGACAGGTGGATATACTAAAGAATCTGTTATTAATTATAAATCAGCTATTAACGTAAAAAAACACTTTGATAAAGAAAAATTTGATGTTTATCAAATTAATATTGAGCCAAATGGTTGGTACTATAATGATGATGATACGACTACAAAATCTACTATGATTGATCGTAATGATTTTTCACTTACAATTAATGAAAAGAAGATTAAATTCGATTGCGTTTTTATGCGTATCGCTGGTTCACCAGGTGAAGATGGTAAATTACAAGGTTATTTTGATATGATTAATATGCCGTATAGCGGTTGTTCTCGTTCAACAAGTTCAGCATTGACACTGAACAAACGATTGGCAGTTGCAGTAGCTGGTTTTTATGGTATTAATGTTCCAAAGTCTGTATGTGTTGAAAAACCAATTGATAATCGATCAACAATACTTCAACAATTAGAATTACCAGTATTTGTTAAACCAAATAATAGCGGAAGTAGTTTAGGTGCTAATCGTGTTGAGACAATTGATGAGTTACAATTTGCACTAGATCATGCATTTGACGAAGATCATCAAGTTATAGTTCAAGAAGCAATTGATGGCCGTGAGTTTACTATTGCTGTTTATAAATTGAAAGGCAAAATTGATACATTTCCTATTACAGAAATTATTCCGCATAACAAGTATTATGATTATGCTGCTAAATATTGCGGTCAATCGACAGAAATATCACCTGCAAAAATCCATAACATACTTGAAAATGAAATTCGTAGAAGTGCCACTAAAATATATGAAGTAATGGAATGTTCTTGTATTGCAAGTGTTGATTTTATTTATAACGAAAAGAATGAAAAATTATATTTCCTTGAAGTAAATACAATGCCAGGTCTAACAGATGCAAATCCACTACCACAACAAGTTAAAGCAATGGGATTAACATTAACTGAATTGTACACAGCATTTATTGAAGACGCATTAGGTTTATGATCAACGATATACAGATACTTCCGGAGTCTAAAAATAAGGAAAGCAAAGTTTCCAAGTTATCTTTATATGTGCAATTTACTGACTGTAAACTTTCATCAAAACCAGAAAATTCAAGACATTTAAAACCGTTCTGTAAATGTTTCAACTTTAATTCAGTCTCATTCAAATATAGGTGTATTTCTTTCACGTTTTCTTGTGCTTTAATGGTCCATTTTTCATCTTTCTTTATATTTATTATTGACCATAGATGGAAGATAGTGTTCAACTACTATTCGACGTGGGTCCTGGTTTGCGATAGAAGTGTCGTTTAAGCCATTTATTCTTTTTGATACTTTATTTACATCTTTAATTTAAGACACAACTATAACAATAGTTGTGTTGATGATGAACAATTTGTATATTTTAGAAAAATGTCGTTAACAGCTACAACAAGATCCGACCAAAAATGACCAATAAATTCTTTATCTATTCACTATTCATGTATGTATCTTAGAGATCTATCATATCTCTTTTTTCTCTTGCATATGTGATGTTTAGATTTTTCGGTATTGGAACGGGGGTAGATTTAAATGGGATTTGGACTGAACTTCCATTAATCGTCCCAAGGGTACCTGAGCATTCCTCTGTATCATCACAAATGGGTATGTTGTCAGATGTAGCTAATGTGGCTCCGTTGTTCATTGCATTAATACATCGTTTAACACATGGATCCTCATCCTACGAAGTTCCGGCTATTATACTCATCTATAGTGTTTACATTTGTATGCCGTTTTTACTTTCATTTACCTGGTTTAAAACGTTGTATTTCATTGGACAACAACGTAGTATTTATTTGTTAGTTTGTACATTTTGTGTCGCTCTTGGCGCTTGTTCAATCAACGTGACCTTTTTACCGTTTCTTAACCGTTTCGATAAATACTGGTTGAATGTTTATTTTGCTGGTGAATCTTTATCATCATTAGTACCGGCTCTACTTGGACTTATTCAAGGTGTTCCCAAACAACCTAACTGCACAACATTTTATGATGAAACAAAAAACCAAACACGAACCGAAGCAGAGCATTTCGCACCACTATTTACCGTTGAAATTTATTTTCTATGTTTATCAGCCATAATGTGCTTATCATTAACTGCGTTTCTTATTCTATGGCGAGGAATAGTACCAACGTCAAAACAGCAAGGATACATAAATCTCAGTGTGAAGCAGATTACAGAGCACGATTCATCACCACAAAAGCCTTTATGCAATATAACAGAGACTTCTTCTCATAATGTTACACAAAATAATGAAAAGTTTACGCGAGAAGCAATTATTTGTTTAATAGCCACCCTATGGTCAAATTTTATCTTATTAGGCTGTATGCCATCAATTACTTCCTATGCTTTAAATCCATATGGTACACGTACATATCACTATATAATTATTCTATGTAAGACTCGTCTAAATGTATAAATAGTTTAACAAAATGGATTAACTTTTCTTTTGTTGATTTAGGTGAATTTTGTTATCCATTTGTTAGTTTAGTGTCTATGTTGAAACCTAAACTGTTTCAATTAAGGTCGTTATCACTAACACTTGTCGTTTGCTTTAGCACAATTATGGGAACATCTGCATTTGCCTATATTTTTGTCGCAGGTTTGACTTATTTTCATCGTACATACATTCTGGTACATTTCAACTTTTCTCTTTAGCTAAAATGGCACCCTGCTCACCACTGGTCGATTATCTGTCTGGAAAAATTCTTATTGTTCGTTATTTCATCCTGTCAGGAAAATCTTATTTATCTCTTACTTGTTTTACTTTTTCATAGGGTTTTATACGTGCATTTCTCTATGTTGTGTTTTATTATCAAAGAATTCTTTTGGGTAACTATTTCACTGAAATATTCGAACATCGGGTGAGTCAATTTGTAATAATGTACATGTTTATTTGAGAAGCATTTCTTACCTATTTAATGAAGAGTCTTTTCTGGTATGGAACATTAATGCAGCTAGGATCTTTTTGTGGTGCAACATTTATATTTCTATTAACATTATTCGATGTATTTAAAGAACGTGTCCCCTGTTTAAATTATCAATGTTCAACCTACTAGGTATGCCATTTATTAACATATGGTTGAATTTTTATTAGACATTTTCGCAATTATTAAAATTAATGTGCAGATTCTTTTTTATGAATTCTTTTTATATGAATAACGAAAATAAGAGAAAGATATTGAATACTTAACGATGGCTGAAGTTTTCGTATTAGAAATTTGCAGCGCATCATTTTGTTAGAATATGTTTACGTATCGATGTATAAATATGAAGAAGTCTGCGTATGAAAAATTGAGGGGTGGGGGAGAAATCAAGAAACTGCAATTATGCTATCACAACGAGAAAGATGCTCTATCGGCGAGAATTTTGCATCTCTTCATCGAATCTTTTTCTTGTCTAGTCCAGAGGAATAATGCTTTTACACGAGAATTATGCTGTTTTGTGTGAGAGTTATGCCTAAATCTAAAATATATTATGCTTCCTCCCTGCACGAGAATTTTGTATCACTTCAGAGAAACTTTTTGTTGCCTAGTCCACGAGAATGATACTGTTGTCTGTGAGAATTATGCATCTAGTCTAGAAGCAATCATGCTCTCTACACGAGAATTTTATATGTCTTCATAGAAACTTTATTGCGTAGCTCAGGAGAATTATGCATCTAATCTAGAAGGAATTGTGCTCATAGAATCTAGAATGAGAATCTAGTATGAGATAGAAGTTCGTAACAAAAAACTATCTGAAGTTCGTAAAGGACTTAACACGAGTTCGTAATGAAAATATCGATAGTTTGGGACGAACTTCAACCTTCAACGATAACCTATCTAATCGGAGTTCGTTTCTAGAAATAGTCGGGAGTTCGTAACGGAAAAATTTGCGGAGTTCGCAATATAAAAGAGGCGGAGTTCGTGAGGAAAAAAAGATGGGAGATCGTAACAGACTTCTATTTACTGTAGTGAAGAATTCATCCATTCAGAATGTCCGCTGAAGAACATTTTTTGTTCTTATTATCTTATTTTTTTGTTGACAGAAGCCACACTTACTAAAAGACTCTAATAAATTTACTTTGGTTCAATGTAAAAGTTAAACCACAAAGTCTAGGAAACGAGAGAATGATTCAGTTATTCAAAGAAATCCTCCGCCCTTGCTTTCATCGAATGTCCTTGGTGGACGACTATAGAAAAAAATGAGGCACTAGATCCAGAGGTAAAAACTGTTTCCATTCGAAGGTCGTTACGAATTCGTAACGACGTTCAGAAAAAAATCAGACCTTCGTAATACGAAGGTCTGATTTTTTCCGGTTACGAACTTCCACTTATTTTTTCTTACGAACTTCGCCTTTTCTATATTACGAAGTCCGCCTTTTTATCTTTACGAACTCCGATCTATTTTTCCTCACGAACTCCGATAAAAATTTCAATACTGAAGACGGTTTGATACACTTTTACGAACTCCGACTCAAATTTTGTCACGAACTCCGGAACTTTTTTTCATGTTCGTTACAAACTCCTAGTAGTTTTTTGTCACGAACTCCGAACCTTTTTATAACGAACTCCAATTATTTGAGTATCTGATCGGAGTTCGTAACGAACGTGACCATCGAAGTTCGTTTTTGAAAACTCGTGAAGAAACTGCGAAACAAACGAGCACTGGAGAACTGGGAAAAGTGTGAACTTTTCTGTACTTTGTTTCTACTCATAGAATAATTAAGAGAAACAAGCATCTCCCAGGATGGGAGAATTGCTGTGTTTTAGAGTTGTCTCACATTTATTGTTTAAAAAGGTATAGTTAATTATCTGAGCACCACAAAGTTCGCATTCTGATTTTTTTCTGCTTTTTAACTCATTTTTTCTGATTTTCGCTTTTTTTTATTTGGGTTCCCTGTTCTTCAACTACTTCTCTCGGTGCACAACGACTTAAATCGTATGCAAGGCAATGAAACTTCAGACAATAATAATAGATAAAACCTTGTAATATTGCTGACTAGTGATTTGTTTAGGCCTGCCACTAAACTCTTTTAAATTGTTTGTTTGCAATAATTATTGTTTTAGTTTTTCTCTAAAAAGCTTATGCTTAGGTATCTTTAAGGTATCTCTTTATTGTGATATTGTTGATATTCTTCTTCATCGTTTATGTTTAACCGTTCATGCTTCGTACTTAATTTCTGTTATTTTTTTCTCTTAAAAATATGAACTTTAGAAATTATTATCGCGCATAATTGTTACGTAAAACGGTATTGCAAACCCCGTTTATCCAAAGATATTGTAACTTTTTTGGATTAAATTTCATTATTACAATTTTTTTGTAAACCTTTGTTATATTTCAATGTTCAGTGTAAATAATAAATAATCCCGCGCGATCATAGAATATTCGACGAAGGTGCTTTAGACAAAGTTTCCAGTTCATATAAGAAACAAATATCATCATATTGTAGATATCACCCAGGCTGATATCTCAAAAAGACTCAGTACAGTATTTTCTAGTATTTATTTTCAACGCATTTGTATATCCTGAGAAATCGGCTAAAAACTACAGTAATACTTGCGTTCCACCAAATGAAAACTGTTTCATCAACTGTAACTCTAAGATAATGCAAAACTAAAAACAAATTTGCTTCAACAGACAAACAATTTTTGTTTTCTTCCATTTTACAATCCGATTATGTGACGCAAAGAAAATAAAAATTTCATAAAATAAGAACGGAAAAAATTAGGAGAATACGATCAACTGGAGTTATAACTATCAACTTAGGTTGATAATTATAACGCCGGTTGATAGTTATAACTATTTGAAATTTTTGGCTAAAAATTAAATTAGTTATAACTAGTTTTAACTCCAACAACTTATAACTTAGGCAGTTTTAAATCCATCAGTGCCGTTTTCTTACTGTAGTCATCTTCTACTGTTATCTCTCAACGCATTCCCCTCCTTCTCATTGATCAGTACACTTCAGATGCAAACGCCATTTACCACTTTACTAGCTATTTACCACTTTACAACGCATAAACGGGCGAACAACTTGTTTTGCATTATCTTAGAGTTACAGTTGATGAAACAGTTTTCATTTGGTGGAACGCAAGTATTACTGTAGTTTTTAGCCAATTTCTCAGGATACACATTCTTTGGATTTTTAGCTATCCTTTAAACTGATATTGGTGTCATTCTTGATAAGAGTTGTTGAAGATGAACTTTTCCGTTAGACATACAGCTGACTTTTTATTTCCTATGTATTTTTTTAAATTTCGAATACAAAGAATAAAGGGAAAAAAGACTTCTCCTATGCGTCTTAAATGTATCACAGCTTAGTGAAACACAGTTTTTCATTCAAAATACTCAGAGTCCAATTGCCAGGCAAGCTGAGGTTGGTTGTGAGTTTTATACAATAAACGAAACTTGCTTGTCGAATGTTGCGTACGACAAGAAGGTTTCATATATAGTTTTATATAGGTCGGATATATATATTTCATAGATATATACGCGTATTTATATATATACTAGCGGAGGTACCCGATGTAGAGTGAGTTGCCTTGAACTTTTCCATCTTTAACAGGACCTTCCCCGCCGTGCATAAATTGAGATGCTTAGTCACACCGACTATATGATGTG